CCATATCACACCAGGCCTTCCTGTCCTTCATTGCCTCCTGGTGTTTGCTCAGTTTCATGCTCATTGCTTCAGAGATGCTATCTAATCATCTCATCCTCTGCCGTTCCCATCTCCTTTTGCCTTCAATCTTTCCCAGCATCAGGGTCTTTTCCAAAGAGTCCTCTCTTCGCATTAGGTGGCCAAAGTACCTGAGTTTGAGCTTCAGTATCAATCCTTCCAATGAGCAATCAGGGTTGATTTCCTTTAGGATTGACTGGTTTGACCTTCTAGCAGTCCAAGGGACTAAGAGTCTTCTCCAGCACCACAATTCAAAGGCATAAATTCTTCGGCACTCAGCCTTCCTTTGGTCCAGCTCTCACAGTCATACATGACACCAAAATGAATTCTTTGTATCTCTTTGCTGCCATTTGGTTTTGCAACCCAGATACTGTGGCCCTCTTATGCTTCTTGCTGTTTTCGAAATCTTTGCTTCACAACCAGAGCAGCTTCCAGATGCTTCCCTGAATTCCTTGGTTAGCATGGACATTGCTGGGAATTCTTGTAATTGAACTTCACATATCTGAAAGTTGCCTGCTGTTCTAGATCCTTATGGGTTCAGCATCAAAACACAAGAAGAGTCCTGTAAGTGTGTTCAGTAAAGCATACTTTACTCTTGCAGGCCTAGTTGTAGGCAATTGCTTGGCCGCTATGAGAACATGAAGCTGATCTAGAGAGGCCTTTGATTTGATTGTCAGAACCTTTCTTCAGAGAGCATTCTAAATCCAGAATTAAGCAGGATCTATTTCTTATTCCCACCTATTGAACATCAGGCAATGAATGGACAGTAAAATAAGGTACCTGGGGATGAATGGAACAGTTCGTCTGGTTCAAGACTTGGGGTCTTTGAGGATTACTTCTGTGAAGGCTGTAAGGGTAACCCACCCCTCAAACAGTCATGCTGGCTGAAAATGGAGAGTTGTAACCTAGACATTTGGAGATCATGAAGCTGAGAACAGCTGCTCTGAAGAGGAGCATTGAGAAGCACACTGAAGTTTCTTTTGGTGGGATTTTGCGGGGTGTGTTCCAGACAGCCGTGAAGAGATGGTTTTGGGCAGTATCCTCCTCCCCAGCTATGAGATTCGGACAGCATTTTCCAAGGAGAAGAAGAACCGCCGCTTTGTATTCAAGGTCAGAGGAAAGGACCTCATTTATGCTTTTCTCCTGCTTATGAACATGGAATTTCTCTTAATGCCCATGGTCACTGTTTCCTTGAAACCATCAGTTCCTTAGCTTGAGGGATGATGGACCATTGCCACAGCTCTAAGCAGCAAAATCTAGATGTGACAAATATAGGAACTTATTTTCCCGCATTGTTGGTTCATCTGTCGAATATGATTTATTGATTTAGAATCTTTGAGCCTGCTTTTCTCCCATCAAGAAACTCAAGGGTATGTGTACCTCCGACTGGCAGCAAGGCACTGCTTCGCTTTGGCTTAAAAGCTGTCTCATCCAGGGTTTCTTGCTCTGCCTGGCAGCAGTCAATCTACAGGGACTTTCAGGCAGAGAAGGAGAGGTTGCCCTCTCTGCTATCTAATCCTTTTCCCTAGAGATGCCTCAGATTAAACTTTGGGACTTTTGTATGGAAAGAATGGTCTCTTCCACTAAGGTATTTACTTAATTTGGGGTTACGTTATATGTTAATATAAAAAGGGCCATGACGGTACCATGAGAAGTAGAGGAAGATGGAGGCATAATACCAAGAATTGTTGGAAGGTGGACAATGGTACTGAATCTAATGTTGGGCCTTTTTGGCGGGGGGCGCCTCTGAGTTAGTGTTGACTCCTGGAGACTGCCTGGACAAGTCCCTGCAATGTTCAAATTTCTGTAAGCAAGTGCTTACAGAAGCCCCAGTCCTACCTTTAGGACAGTGAAACAACCACATTGGATGGCAGACAGGGACAAATTGGGTGTAAGCCCACTCATTGTCCTTCACTGCATCTCAGGCATGAGGCTGTCCAGAATGCTTTGCCGGTATGGTTGGCTAGCTTTCTCTAATGGGTTTCTTCAGAAGGATGGATTGTGAAATAGCCATGTGATGTCTCCTTGCTAAGGCAGCCATGTAACCATCCTACAGAGCATCTCCTTGAAGGACCCTTCAGAGAGAGGTGAGCAACGGCGCAGCCACTGCCAAAGAATAAGGTACACAGAAGGAGACAATAGGTCCTCTGCCTGTCCTGTCTGTGAGTCATCTTGGGCTGATGGCTTTGGAAGCCTGAATTTCTGGGTCCTCTGGCAGAGATGTTCTAAGAACCATTGGGATGTAGTGTTTCCTTACTTCCCAGATCCATTATTTTACTGTAAAGTAGAGTAATGTTATTTGCCTGTAGTGGTACAGGAAACCAACCAGTCAACTATCTCCTTTTCTGCTGGTGTTCCAAGTGTCTGTGTATCTTCTGCCCTCTTGAGGATGCTTCAACCATTACAAGGAGATTCTTCCCTTTTTCTTTTTTCTTTTTCATAGGCTGAACATCCTGGTATGCGAATTTACTATTTCAGTGCAGACACCCAGTTGGATATGAATAGCTGGATCAGGGCCATGAAACAGTCAGCTGCTGCTGAGTGCGACTGTGGAAACTAGTAAGGGCTCGGGACAGCGGGTAGACACACAGCACTGTGCTGGGTTCATTGTCAGTTTTGTGTAGTCAGGTGTCTAAGGAGTTTGGAGTTGGGGCATAATGTATCGTAGAAAGTTCTGAGAAGAAGAATCCCATGAAAAGGGAGTGAATACCATTAAAGCAAGAATTGGATGGGAAAAGCGGATAGTGGAAGAATACAAGGTTTGAATTTTCTGGGAAGACTGGATTTGTAAGGTATCCTTGTGGAAAAACTGGGAAGGGTCTTGAAAGAGCCAGTTGGACAGGGCAGTGTTTGGTTGAAGAGGGAGGAGTCAGATTTTGCACTGGGAATAACGGGCAATGTTATGGGAGACCTGGAACTCTACTTGGATTTATTCCCCCTTCTGCTCCACCTCAGCAACCAAGGGGGTCTCCACAGCCAGTCAGTGTCTGCCCACACCAGCTTTGAGGACATCCGGCTCCCCGAGGGCGATTATGCCAAAAGCACTGAATCGCTGGAAATTGCCCATATCTCAGAAGCCCAGGAGGCCCAGGCCTCATCATCTGAGAGTCTCCATTTGCATGACAACCAGAAGGGATCTCCTTGCCTTAAGAGGACTTTATCCAGCTCACTTAATGGGACATACTGCCATGAAAGCAAAGAGCAGCCAGAATTGAGGTAAGAAGGGGAAGAACAAGTTTCACTGCAGTGCATGTAGCAGCAGATGGCTGTACAGACATGGGCTCTCCAAAGCCCTGTTGGAACAGGGCTTAATGATCACCATAATTAACTTTATCTTCTCCTTCATCTTCTCTTGGCAGCTCCTTGTCTTCCCAGACGCATGGATATCCCTCTCCTATTACTTGCACTAAGTTCCATCCCCCGCCACAGTCCCTACCACCACCTTCATCTGAGAGTCCACCTCCTTCTTCTCTGTCTCGGGCATCTCAGCCTTCCCCTCTGCTTTCCCTGCGTTCCTCCCGTGCCTACTCCCTCCCGCTAACTCCAGCCGAATCCCCACAGATGCGACAGGCTCACCCACCCGACGCACATGCCCATCAGAACCCTCCACGACCTGCAGTTGCACAGGCTGCCTCCTGTGACGATCTCTCTATCATAACCTCTCCAAGGACTCCCCTGCATGCCAACACTCCCATGGGGAGGGTAGACATTGCCCCCAGCAAATGCCTTCCCAATAACCCCTATGCTGTTGCATCACCGGTCAACAAAGGCCGCCCTCTGACCCCTGCAGACCGGTATGATGTGTTCCCTACTTCTGAAGACTCCTATGGCAGGCGCTACACTCAAAGTCCTCATTCCAATAGAGTCCGGCCTATAGGTGAAGATGGCCTAGCCCCCTCAGTGGGGAGACAGCAACAGAACAGGGTAAGTGGAGGTTTCAGCTTCAGTAGTCACAGCAAATCATTGGTACATCATTCCTCCAGAGCTTAGACTGGCCCTGACCCTCCTGGCCTTCAGGAAGGCTCTAAAGATGGGGCTTTGCCACCTCCCTTGGGGGTCTGGTGGTAGTGGAGAGTTTCTTCAATGGTTGTATTGAATGTGATGCATTGATTGGATTCTGCCGCTGATTATGGTTATGTTTTGTGCTGATGGCTTAGTATGTTTGTATGTTTATTGATTTGTTTTTGTGTGTTGATGCTGTTTTAATGGAGATGAGCTGCCCAGAGTCACTTAGGTGAGATGGGTGCCTATACTGATTGAATAAATAAACAAACTCTGAACTTGGTCTATAATCTGAATTTGACCTCTCATGAATCTTTCTCTCTGCCAGTTTACAGACCGAGGTTACCTCTCTCCATCAGTTGGGCCATCCCGTGCTTTGGTCATGTCTCGGCTTCATGGCCGACTGGTGAGTATCAGAGAGACAGAGATGTGTAGCATTTTTTCTTCTCTGTTCACTTGGCTATGTTCCCTCATCCCTGTGCCTGGCCTGCAAAATCTCGATATGCTAGGCCTAGAGCAGCATTTGTCAACCTTGGCAACTTGAAGAAGTGTGGACTTCA